TTCAGAGAAATTAGATTTTCATAATTTAAATTTAGATCTCTTTGAGGACAACTTTATGAATAATATATCTGAAGATAAGATAAATATTTTTCAAGAAACTCAAATCAACTTAATTAACACACCGTATTTTGATTCCTTTGATTTTAAAGTAAAAACAGATGATTGTTCATTTTCTGTATTACACATAAACATTAGAAGCATGCAGCAAAATTTTGATAAACTTAAAGAACTTTTAAACATTTTAAATTACACGTTCGACGTCATATCTCTTTCAGAGACTTGGCATGATACAGAAAGTACTCTTGAATTAAATTCTAATTATACTTTACCATTTTACAAACTAATTAGTCAACCACGAGGTGGTGGGATAAAAGGATGAGGATTAGGAATTTATGTCTTGGAAAAGTATGCTTTTAAGATATAAAACATACGATGCTTTTCTAATAATAATTATGAAAGTCTTTTCATTGAAATTATTAATAAAAATTATCGAAACGTTTTAGTTGGATGTGTTTATCGCCCACCAAGTGGAAAAATAAAAACCTTCGAAACTTTTATCAAAAATACGATTATAAAAATAAATAAAGAAAAAACATTATATATTACTGGTGACATAAATCTTGATGGTCTTTGTAACACAAAATTTCCAAAAATAAAATCTTTTTTTGATATGCTTTTTAAATTGAATGTCTTGTCAACTATTAATAAACCAACGCGAGTAACAAAAACCTCGGCAACAGCAATTGACAATATTTTTATTAATAATTATTTAGAAACGACATTTGAAACCGGTATATTTATGACAGATATTAGTGATCATTTCCCGGTATTCATAAAAACAAAAAATCTAAAAGCTATAACTGATTGTCATTCAAAAATCATACATTTGAAAAAACGAAATTTAAAAATGAGTAACAATAATAATTTAAAAAATAGACTAAAACAAGAAACATGGAACAACGTATATAAATGTTAAGATACGAATGGAGCTTAAAATGTTTTTTTAAGTACATTTTTTAGTACTTTAATAAAACCTGTCCTCAAGAGAATATAAGAACTAAGTCAAAAGCAATTGCTAATCCGTGGATGAATAAATCTTTATTAAAGTGCTCAATAAAAAAGCAAAAACTTTACAATAAATTTCTGAAAAATAAAAACAATGATAATGAAAAAATTTACAAAAACTATAAATATTTTTACCAAGATCTCATTAAAAATGCAAAAAAATGCAAAAAAAAAATTACAGTAATCAAATTAACAAATGCAAATTTGATTGCAAAAAAACATGGTCCATCATCAATGTCATAATGGGAAGAGAAAAACTAAATTCACCTTCTCTACCTAAACGAATTGTTATTGAAAACAACGATATATTTAGCCAAAAACAAATTTTGGAAGAATTTAATAAACATTTTACAAGTATTGGTCCAAATCTTGTAAAAAAAATAGTACCAACATCTTTAAAACCTTCCTTAAACCAACGAATAATGTTATCATGCTTGATTATGATTTAACCTATGAGTAATTTGAGGCAACTTTTTCCTCGTTAAAAAAAAAAAAGGCTCCGGGGTTTGATGAGATATCTAGTAATATAGTTATTGCAAACAAACATAGCCTTAAAAGACCTCTAATACATATACTAAAGCTTTCGTTAAATTTTGGGATATTTCCGGATGTACTTAAACTAGCAAAAGTAACTCCATTGTACAAATGTAATGATCATTCTGACATTACAAACTACAGGCCTATATCACTACTTTCTGTATTTTCAAAACTATTCGAACCTGTAGTTTATAATAGAATCTATGATTACTTCATTAAAAACAATTTTTTTTACCCAAATCAGTTTGGTTTTCAAAAAAATCTCTCTACTGAGCATGCAATCATTGAAATAGTAAATCAAATAACTAATGGTTTTGAAATAATAAATTTACTTTAGGAGTATTTCTTGATTTATCAAAAGCATTTGATACAGTGGACCACTGTATTCTCTTAGATAAATTAAGACATTACGGAATAATTAATAAAACTTATTATTGGATTAAAAGCTATCTTACAAACAGAAAACAATATGTAAATAATGCCCAATCTGGAGTGTTAAATGTCATATGTGGAGTTCCGCAAGGATCGATTCTTGGTCTACTTCTTTTTTTAATATATATAAATGACTTTTATAATGCATCCTTAAAACTTAATTCAGTCATGTTTGCAGATGACACGAATTTATTTCTTACCAACAACGATATCAAGAAATTATATGCGGACATGAATATTGAACTAAATAAAGTAAATAACTGGTTTAAGGCTAACAAACTCTCACTTAATGCCGAGAAAACAAACTATATACTTTTTCATAAAAAAACACAAGAAGAAAATCTTCCTCTCAAGTTGCCGAACCTATTTATAAATGATAAATTAATTAAAAAGCAATCCAATATAAGATTCTTGGGAATCGTTGTTAATGAAAAATTATCCTGGCTTCCTCATATAATATAAATCC